TTTCCTCAAAAATTCACATTTTTTCCCAAAAAAATTCCCGTTTTTTCCCCCCCAAAATTCCCATTTTTTCCTGCAAAAAATCACATATTTTCCTCAAAAATTCACTTTTTTTTCCCCCCCAAAATTCCCATTTTTCCCAAAAAAAATTCCCATTTTTTCCCAAAAAATTCACATTTTTCCAAAAAAATTCCCATTTCTTTCCTCAAAAATTCCCATTTTTTTCCCCTAAAAATTCCCATTTTTTCCTGCAAAAATTCACATTTTTCCCCCAAAAAATTCACTTTATTTCCTCAAAAATTCCCATTTTTCCCTGCAAAAAATCACAATTTTTTCCCCAAAAATTCACTTTTTTTCCCCAAAAAATTCCCATTTTTTCCCCAAAAAATCAGATTTTTTTTCCCAAAAAATTCCCATTTTTCCCCCTAAACTTCATATTTTTTTCTTCAAAAATTCCCATTTTTTTTCCCAAAATTTCCAATTTTATTCCCCCCAAAAGTCACTTTTTTTTTTCAAGAATTCCTTTTTTTTTCCCAAAAATTCCAATTTTTTTCCTCTCCAAATTCCAACTTTTTCCCCCCCCAAATTCACACTTTTTCCCAAAAAATTCTTTTCTTCCCCCCAAAATTCCCATTTTTTTCAATAATTCCCATTTTTTTCTCCCCAAAATTGGTGTCCCCAAGGTGTCCCCAAATGTCCCCAGGGTGTCCCCAGGTGTCCCCAGGTGTCCCCAAAGTGTCCCCAGGGTGTCCCCAGGTGTCCCCAGGTGTCCCCGAGTGTCCCCAGGTGTCCCCAGGTGTCCCCAAAATGTCCCCAGGGTGTCCCCAGGTGTCCCCAGGGTGTCCCCAGGTGTCCCCAGGTGTCCCCAAGGTGTCCCCAGGTGTCCCCAAAGTGTCCCCAAAGTGTCCCCAGGTGTCACCAAATGTCCCCAGGGTGTCCCCAGGTGTCCCCAAGGTGTCCCCAAAGTGTCCCCAAGGTGTCCCCAGGTGTCCCCAGGTGTCCCCAAAGTGTCCCCAGGTGTCCCCAAGGTGTCCCCGAGTGTCCCCAGGTGTCCCCAAAGTGTCCCCAGGTGT